TGGCATGAAAGATTAAAGACATCATTATTAGTTTTTCGTGATCTTGACAGAGTTGTAGACATTTACGATGGTTTTCTTGAGATCTAAACATGAAAGGTTCTAGACGTCATTACTATTTTTCTCGACATGAAAATTAGAGACGTATTTTCACGTCAAACCAAAAAAAGAAATATTTTCCCATTTCTCACCCTTTCTCTTTAGTATAAGTTTTGGACTTCTAACTCCTGTCAGAAGATAACATAGTTCAAAAACAATTCTCTCTCCTTTTCTAGTGTAATTTGTTCTTCTTGTGTGTCAAAACAATGCCCAAAAACCTTAATTTTTGCTTCACAAGGTTCAAATCTTTGCCATCTCTCCAAGAAAATCATAGACGTCCATTTTGCAATCCCGCTGCCGCATCTTTACTTATCAAGAACTTCAACTCTCTTTATGATTGCACAATCGATTGCTCAGCCGCCGCTGCGACCTCAGCCTCAGTCGCATCCTCCACCACATCGGTCCACCGTTCTTTATCTGACTCTGAATCCGAAACTGAGACCACCAACACAGCAGATTTAGCCACCGCCTTCGCCTCCCAACGCTTCTTCTTCTCCTCCCCTGGCCTCTCCAACTCCATTGTAGACTCAATATCAGCATCGTCATCAATCGCATCAACCTCATCTTCCTCACCGGAAAAACCACAGGAATCTGATACTATTGCCGTTCCAAAGTACTCCGTGGACCCCTTCATCGACTTCCGGCGATCCATGCAAGAAATGGTGGAGGCGCGAGAACTTAATGATGTAAAATCCAACTGGGATTACTTGCATGAGCTTCTCATGCGCTATCTATTCTTAAACCCCAAAAGCACCCATAAATTCATCGTCGGAGCTTTTGCTGATCTCGTCGTCAGCCTGATGACACCTTCACCACCGGATAGTGGCCGGCGGAAATAAGGGAAATGTATGTAATTATTTTAGCTTCAGCTTGGTATCATTTTCATATAATTTATGTTGTTGTAAAATATATAAATGTTGACAGTTCATGAATGAACATGTGGGGTTAATATGCATTTGGTCCCCTTTTGTCTTCAATTATAATCAATTGCCTTGTCCTTTACAGCATGAACATGTTTTAGTTTTGGTGTGCCATTTTGGTATTAGAGTACATCGATCTTCAGTTTAACTCTGGTTTTCATCTATCTGTGAAAATTGTCCACATATCGACCCTCTGATGACAAAAAATGTTTTAAAACTTTTAGACAAAATGGTTTAAACGGTTTTCTTAGGCAACATGATTTCATATTCCAATGCCATACTTTTTACAGCAAAATTAAATCCTTTTAGCATTAGATTTCTGATAGAGCTGAAAAGTAATAAAACATTTTTTATTTCTGATCTCATCGTTATTTCTGAACCCTAATGGAAAAGCTGTTGCTATGTTAATGCTAACTGCAGCAACATTCAAGAATTAATTTTTATTTGTTGATTGGATTTAAGTATCTAAATTAATACTTTGATTCCTCTTTTGGATGGATTATTTTTTGTTGATTATAGATGCTGGATATTGTCAAGTTCGGCATATAAATTGCAATCAACGACAATATTAGATTGGTTTATGAAAATTATTGGGTCGAAAAATTTAACCTTATTCCCGAGCTGACACCCCGGATAATCTGTAACAAAGTTTTGGGATAATCTCGATCATAAGCACAAGGAGTTCTAAAAAACGTAGATACGACTCATGACATGTACGCAATGGGAAAGTATTTGACAGTTGAAAAACATCAGTTTTTGTGAAGTAAAATCCAACGAGATTATTAACTTATCTGAATTATATTCAATTATT